TCCGTGGTCTGCAGTTCTCATCTTTTATAACCCAGTACTATGGTCTGGTTTTGGATTTGCTAATGCTTGGTTTGCATCGCGCCAGTGAGATGGCCGGTCCGCCACAAATGCCAAACGACTTTCTCACGTTCCAAGATACAGTTACCGAAACTGCACATCCAATACGTTTATATTGCCGTTATGTGGATCGTATTCATTTATTCTTCCGTTTTACCGCGGAGGAAGCACGTGATTTGATTCAACGCTACCTCACCGAGCATCCAGATCCCAATAATGAAAATATTGTTGGTTACAACAATAAAAAATGTTGGCCCCGAGATGCACGCATGCGGTTGATGAAACATGACGTCAACTTGTAAGTGGCTTGCTATCCTTTYATTATTGTTATGAAGTCTCAAAATAATTTTTAATATACTTTTAGGGGCCGTGCGGTTTTCTGGGATATTAAGAATCGTTTACCTCGCTCCGTTACGACCATAAATTGGGAGAACACTTTCGTGTCGGTCTACTCGAAAGACAACCCAAATTTGTTATTTAATATGTGCGGTTTTGAATGTCGTATACTGCCAAAGGTACTAAATTACGAAAATATTTTTAAATCATAATATATTATATATTGATTATTTACTTATAAGTGTCGGACACAAACTGAAGAATTCACACATCGCGATGGCGTGTGGAATTTACAAAACGAAGTGACAAAGGAGCGCACAGCTCAGTGTTTCCTGCGTGTGGATGACGAGTCGTTGGGCCGATTCCATAATCGTGTGCGACAGATTTTAATGGCTTCTGGTTCTACAACATTCACCAAGGTGACACATAATATTGCCAGTAGTACTATGAACTAGTTATTAAAATATTTTTGGTATTCTACAGATTGTTAATAAATGGAATACGGCGCTTATTGGTCTTATGACGTATTTCCGTGAAGCGGTCGTAAACACTCAAGAACTGCTCGACCTGTTGGTAAAGTGTGAAAATAAAATACAGACTCGTATAAAAATTGGTCTCAACTCAAAAATGCCTTCACGTTTCCCACCTGTCGTGTTCTACACACCAAAAGAGYTGGGTGGCCTAGGCATGTTAAGTATGGGTCACGTGCTTATTCCACAATCGGATTTGCGTTGGTCTAAGCAGACCGATGTCGGTATTACACATTTCCGCTCAGGTAAGCGATGATACAAAGTAGTTACACATGCAATTTATTTATAAAAGAAAAACGTTTTTCTTCTTCTTAACAGGCATGTCACATGACGAAGATCAATTGATACCGAATTTATATCGATATATCCAACCATGGGAGAGCGAATTTATCGATTCGCAACGCGTGTGGGCCGAATATGCATTGAAACGCCAAGAGGCGAATGCGCAGAATCGTCGTTTGACTTTGGAAGATTTGGAAGATAGCTGGGATCGCGGTATACCACGTATAAATACACTCTTCCAAAAAGATCGCCACACACTAGCCTACGATAAGGGCTGGCGTATACGCACAGAATTCAAACAATATCAAGTGCTTAAACAAAATCCCTTCTGGTGGACKCATCAACGCCATGATGGCAAATTGTGGAATTTGAATAATTACCGTACGGACATGATACAAGCTTTAGGTGGCGTAGAGGGCATTCTTGAGCATACACTCTTTAAGGGTACATACTTCCCAACTTGGGAGGGTCTTTTCTGGGAAAAAGCATCTGGTTTTGAAGAGTCCATGAAGTACAAAAAACTGACAAATGCGCAACGTTCCGGTTTAAATCAGATTCCCAATCGTCGTTTCACACTATGGTGGTCACCAACGATCAATCGTGCCAATGTGTACGTTGGTTTCCAAGTGCAACTTGATTTGACGGGTATTTTTATGCATGGTAAAATTCCAACATTGAAAATCTCCTTGATTCAGATATTCCGTGCTCACTTGTGGCAAAAAATACACGAGTCCATTGTTATGGATTTGTGTCAAGTGTTCGATCAGGAATTGGATGCACTCGAAATTGAGACTGTACAAAAAGAGACTATACATCCGCGTAAATCATATAAGATGAATTCGTCTTGTGCTGACATTTTGCTATTCCCCGCTTACAAATGGAATGTTTCACGACCGTCTTTACTGGCGGACACCAAAGATACAATGGACAACACAACAACGCAAAAGTATTGGTTGGACATACAGTTACGATGGGGTGATTACGATTCACACGATGTGGAACGTTATGCACGTGCCAAATTCCTTGATTATACCACCGACAACATGTCCATATATCCTTCGCCGACCGGTGTGTTAATCGCTATTGATTTGGCGTACAACTTACACTCTGCCTATGGTAACTGGTTCCCAGGTTGTAAGACACTGATACAGCAGGCTATGGCCAAAATAATGAAGGCGAATCCGGCATTGTATGTACTGCGTGAACGTATACGTAAAGCTCTACAACTTTACTCATCCGAGCCAACTGAACCATATTTGAGCTCGCAGAATTATGGTGAATTGTTTTCGAATCAGATCATTTGGTTTGTTGACGACACTAATGTATATCGTGTAACAATACACAAAACATTCGAAGGCAATCTAACAACAAAACCAATTAACGGTGCAATTTTCATTTTCAACCCACGTACTGGCCAATTATTCTTGAAAATCATTCATACATCTGTGTGGGCGGGTCAAAAGCGTTTGGGTCAGTTGGCAAAATGGAAGACTGCCGAAGAAGTAGCAGCTTTAATTCGTTCTCTACCGGTAGAAGAGCAACCTAAACAAATCATCGTGACACGCAAGGGTATGTTGGACCCGTTGGAAGTGCATTTGCTGGATTTCCCGAATATTGTGATCAAAGGCTCCGAACTGCAATTACCATTCCAGGTGAGTACAAAACAAACGATTATTAAACTATATAATAAATGAAAAAAAAAAAAAACATTTCCATTATTTAAATATAATCATATTTTCCATTTTCAAATAGGCTTGTCTTAAAGTGGAGAAATTYGGTGATCTCATTCTGAAAGCCACTGAACCACAAATGGTGTTGTTCAATCTTTATGATGATTGGTTGAAGACCATCTCTTCGTATACAGCATTCAGTCGTCTGATTTTAATCTTACGTGCTTTACATGTGAACACCGAACGTACGAAGATCATACTTAAACCGGATAAGACAACTATAACGGAGGCGCATCACATCTGGCCAACACTCACCGATGAAGAATGGATAAAGGTGGAAGTGCAACTTAAGGATCTGATTTTGGCCGATTATGGCAAAAAGAATAATGTAAACGTGGCCTCGCTAACGCAATCGGAAATTCGTGATATTATTTTGGGTATGGAAATTAGTGCACCATCTGCACAGCGTCAACAAATTGCTGAAATTGAAAAACAAACAAAAGAACAGAACCAACTGACAGCCACAACGACGCGTACAACGAACAAACATGGCGATGAGATTATTACCTCTACCACATCGAATTATGAAACGCAAACGTTTAGTTCGAAGACCGAGTGGCGTGTGCGTGCTATATCAGCTACAAATCTACATTTGCGTACGAATCACATTTATGTCAGTTCGGACGATATAAAAGAAACTGGTTATACGTATATTTTACCGAAGAATATACTGAAAAAGTTTGTCACAATTTCCGATTTGCGCGCCCAAATCGCCGGCTACTTGTATGGCGTGAGTCCGCCGGATAATCCTCAGGTGATTTGTTGTAAATTATTATTATTGTGTTAAAGAATTTCAAAACTCAAACTAAATGGTTAAATTGTTGTTTATTTATTGCATTACAATCGTTTAGGTCAAAGAAATCCGTTGCATTGTTATGCCACCACAATGGGGCACACATCAGACGCTGAACCTGCCCAACACTTTGCCTACGCATCAGTACCTCAAAGACATGGAACCACTCGGTTGGATACATACACAGCCGAATGAGTTGCCACAATTATCACCGCAAGATATCACCACGCACGCAAAAATTATGCAAGAAAATGCCTCGTGGGACGGAGAAAAGACCATTGTAATCACTTGTTCGTTCACGCCAGGATCCTGTTCACTTACTGCTTACAAACTGACGCCATCCGGTTTTGAATGGGGCTCTAAAAATACGGATAAGGGTAACAATCCCAAAGGTTACTTACCGTCACATTACGAACGCGTTCAAATGTTGCTATCGAACAAATTCCTCGGCTTCTTCATGGTGCCCTCACAGGGCAGTTGGAACTACAACTTTATGGGCGTACGACACGATGCGAACATGAAGTATGAACTGCAATTATCAAATCCTAAGGAATTCTATCATGAAATACATCGACCTTCACACTTTTTATTATTCTSYAATTTGGAAGATGCCGGCGACGGCTCGGGCGCCGATCGTGAGGATGTTTTCGCGTAGTTTGTCATAAAAGAGATTAGAAAAACCGCAGTTAGTATATATGTTTCATTCTTTGTTTTATGTTTCCTGATTTACAGTTAACACAGCATATGTATGAAGACTTTAAAAGAATTGTGCGGTACGTTTTATAGCAAACGAGCTGTGTAGGTATATCTATTATAATAATTACGCACGTTTTAGTGAAAACGAAAAAGTCAATATTTTCATAAATGTTATATAAAGCGGATACTACACAAATAAATTAATAATTTTACAAAAATAATAACTATGTTTTCCCCATGTTCAATTAAATGTTTGTAAAGGGAAGGTATAAGATCACGTTCTATTTATTTTCTTCCTATTTAATGTTTGCATTATTGTATTTTTTATTGAATTTATTTTTATTATTATTTTTACTATTATTATTATTTTTTCTATTATATTCTTTTTGTTCATTTTTTGAAAATTTTTTTTTAGCAATAAAGACGTGAAATGATTTATACCAAATCAATATTGATAAAACATGCACACTTTGTACACACACTCTGTAGCACAATAATACATCTTCGACTTCAATTACTATTTTCTGTAAATGCATACACATATGTATATCCGAAACTAACTGATTATAAAAACTGTTTACTTACTTATAATTTATTTCTATATTATAAATTTCAATACATTAGTCGTATAAAAAACATTTTCAATTATTGTATTGCATTTAGGTGATCACCAAGTTTCATATCATATTTTGTTTTGATTTTTTTTTTTTATTAATATGTTYTTATTAATATTAAAGGTTTTATTAAAATTTAGGTACGGGTATGTAAACCATTYGTTTTCTTCGGCATTTTACTAAATTTAATACACTCCCTATTTGTTCCCTAAATAGTCAAATGCTTTCAACTTTCGGACTGCTCTACAATTATCATATTTTATATATGATGATTTCTTCATAGTAACGTTTTTACGTACACACACTCATGTATGTATTTCAGTTTTTGTCATTCTTGTTATTATGAACATTTCCATAGTAAAATTGCTAAATTTCCACCGAAGAAAAGGTATAAAATATTTTTGGTTTCGTAGGAAACTTCAAATCCAAAGCCTTCACCAACAACCACATGCCAATAAATACCGAACTTCTTATCCATGGTTTCCTTGATAACACGTGCCGCTTGCTATAAATATACATAAATAGGCGATATACTTATGTATATACATATAATTATAGGTTGGTATGTAGGTCATTACTGTTTATAATTTTGAAGGATATATTGTAAAGTTTTTTGTGTTTTTAGGTATTTTCTTGTAAGTACATCTATATGTATATGTATGTATTAAAGTATAATTATTTATACCGGGCAGGCATTGAAAACCCCCTCCTTATATATTTCAATGGAAAAATTCGAATTATATAAACAAACCAAAAAAACGTTAGTTTTTTAAAACTCACCTCATAATTGCTCGAATATTTTTCACAAGCTGTAATACTCATCTCTATAGCTTCTGTGCGCATTTCTTCGTTCATATCTGAATGCTGAAAATATTGTTTAATAATTCGGTTATATTTGTTTATTCTTCCTTCAAACTATTATTATGATTCATTTTTTTTCTGACGTCGAAGTTCCACTTCTGGTAGCTTTAATTTCATGCCTGACAAATAGTGCATACCTTGACAAGCGGATATGTGTGCACGATTTTCTTTTCTGCTTCTTTTTCCGGATTGGCTCCCTCATCGGCCATGACGGTAGARTTATGGAAATAGCAACTATTTTTGCTTTTGTAAAAATACACCAAAATATACAATTTCGATTGCTAAACGTTAGCTTATCGCAGTAAATATATGTATATATTTTCGTAACGTAGGGTTTCGAATTTAAACCGAAACTACAAACAGGGAACTTCAAAATATTTACTTTTTCTAATATTAACTGTTTTGTGCTAACTTTTAACAAGTTTTTTTCTATTGAAAAGTGACTTCTATAATGGCGTACGTATGCTCTTCCTCCCATGCATAATGGCTGACTGATTTTTGCTTGTCTGCTTTGGAAATTTACTAACATCAGTTAAATATTTCTTCCTAAAGAAACTCCACTAATTTTGAAATGGCTTTCATCTCTCACTGTTGCAATGACATTTCAGCGCATGCGTGGTTTTTATTGTCTATGCTGTTACAATTTAGGCGAAGATTGCAAATATTTGCAACATGAAGTTGGGGTTATACATATCACATAGTGCGCGGAATTCAATCAACCCCACCGGCCATTGTAGAAGGCAGACCTTATTTTTCCGGTTTTCATAAATTTTAAGGGAGGAAATCATAATCACAAGAAGAAGTAGAGATTTAGAAATATATGTTTATATAAATTTTATACGGAAATTTTATACGGACTTAGAGGGATGCGTTCCGAATTTGTTTACTAACAAATTCTCTTTAAATAAGCTATGTCCGTAGATATGTACTTTCATGCATAATAAGTCAAGAGTTATACACTGTTGACTTGATGATAGTTCATTTTCAATCTCTTTAATTAAATTAGGTATAAAAAATCTTTGCTTAAATAATATTTTCAATTTTCTATACATAGTATTGATCAACTTTATTTAATTTTATCATTATCTTAGTACATATAATAATCGCTTATTGTGTTGTAACTAAATTAAAACCCTACTAGCTTTCGTTTAATCCCAATTTTCCTCAGAATCATAATTGGTGTCTCCTTTAGTATGTGAATATCCACCGCATGCGCCCCGTTCGTCATCATTTCCGGTCTCATCATATCCAGCATCATTCCATACTCCCAACTCCTTATCATAACAATCATCATATTGACGATAACTAAAATCATCCTCATCATATTCGGGTAATATGATATATTCTTCTTTTACCTCAATATCATTTTCCTTTAGAACAGCAAGCAATTCCGGCATTGTAGCGCCAATATTTTCAATATAGTCTCTTAAAACTATTAGAGGTACTTTATATATACGTAAATCGCAATTGAAATATCTATCAATACGTCGACAACGACTGATTTGATAGCGCGCCTCATCCAGAATTTTTTGATTTTTACTACGTTCATCAATATAAACTGGGAAATCTACAGTAAATATTTCTTTGTATCGAATATCTGCTTCGGGTCCGAAATCAACGGCGACCTTGCTGGGAAGTAACTCATTATGAAGAGAAAGGTCCAGCAAATCACAACGTGCAAATATTGCCATTTGAGTTACGTTGCCAATATCCTTTCTATCTGGTGGTGCATCCCCAACTCCCATAAAAGCAACCTTATAATTTGGGTATTGTTGGCAAATATTTAATGCCCAGTCCTCAAATTCAGATCGCTTCCATTCAAATTTGTGATCATCGTGTCGGAAACCATTTGCTAATAACGGTTCAAAAAGTACGTTAAATTCTGAATTTGGTGTTGAAAATATTGCTAGTTTAGGCTGCATAAAACCGAAAATATTTTTTGGCGTATTCTCTAGTGTTTTTGGATACAAGTGCTCAATTCTATTAAATAATACAATATATTTATGTATTACTTTTAATAAAATAGTTCCGAACTTACATTTCCAATGCGATTACTGCGTCTACATTCAACAATTGATCAGCCGGYGTGTCAATGCTTCCTTGTAATAAATCGATTCGCAAAGGAGTTTCACGTTTGTTCAAGTAGTCCGATACCAAGGGTTCTGCTCTCTGTTTATAGCTCCTTAATAAATTTTCATCAATGTCAACCTGACCAAAAAAGAGTACAAGCTTTTTTAAAATATATTATATATTAAATATAAAATGTATGAAGACTTAATAACCAAGTCCATATTTCATATTTGTGCAGTTATTTTATCCAGGTGCTGTAAATAAATTAACCTGAGATAATGTAAAACATAATAGATGCTAGTGAGCGTAGCTAGCTCCTCTACCATGCTAGTGACACGTTAATTAACCGTTCGTAATTCACAAAGCAAAATAATAAATTTTGGATGACATGAAAACGGCATAAGAAAGCAGAGAACTAATTCATGGTAATGTAAACAAACTGTTACTAAATAAAGTTGTATTGTATTGTGAATTAATATAATTAAGAAGAAGCAAACACATATGCCGAAACGCGGCGAATTGGAATGAAACACACACACTGGAGCAGTTTTTCGACGGCGATTTCGTTGAGCTTGAGTTTGTAATGCAATTATCTAGTGTAAAGAATAGACGGATCGGGAAAATTTAACTCAGTAGGTTTTATAGCGAATTCTGCGACAATTACTAAAGTAATTAGACAAAATCATTATCAAAATATAGCCCGATTTTTTATGAATTAAAGAAATATAAAAGTAAAGCATCGGATGTCGGGTCATCGTGATAAAATCACTTTAAAAGTGTGTACAACAGTGAAAACTTTTAGCATTGAATAAGTTTTTTTTTTCTCTTGCTTCTGTCTTTCTGTCTTGAAATCGAAACAAGCGAAACCGAAAGAGAAAAAAGCGACCAAATTAGTCGGCCAACCAGCATTGTACCGAATTTCTTATGTTTTTGACTTTAACAAAATTGTTGCTAAAATTTGAAATAATCGTTTGATATTGTGCATAGTTAGAAAATATGTCTGTATATTGAATATCTGATGGGTAATTCAGAAAAGATTTGTTCCATTCGTAACAGTCTCGCGTTGCATCGATTTTAAAAGTCTTGATAGAAATTTTTTAGCGCTGCTGCTGAAACCGAGCCGTTCATTCGGTTGACACCGCTGCTTTCATTTCATGTAGCACTTGCCTTGCCAAAATGTTTTATGTGTATTGCCTTGGGAACTCGGTTGTATAAAATAGTGTAAATTTAAAAAAATATGAGTTTTTTATTAGAATTGCTGTAGAAGTTAAAAAAAATGTATTCTGATTGTACATACTCATATTTCGGAAATATATTTGAAGAAATTATAATAAAGATAGATGAGTGAAGACAGACAAAAAAACAGTGAAACAGTGGAATTGATCGATTTTTAATCGCAAATAATCTGATTCTTCATTCAAAATGGGAGAGTGCAATATACGTATGGAAGAAACGTTTATAGTAGCGAAGAATTTAAGCTAGTGGCATATATAATATCGGAGTACATAAATATATATATAGAAATATAGATGCATAAGGGCATGTGCAATCGATTAATTTTTGCTCCTTTATCTGGTTTTGAATTGAGTTGTATGAATCTATTAACGTATTTTACATTCTTTCTTTACATAAACTTTCGTGGTACAAAACAAAGTATAATCACAACAAAAAAGAAATATCGTTGCTAAATACAATGAAAAAAAATCCGTAATTCAAAACACAAACACTACAAAATCAACAAAGTCTACAACGATCAGCCAATTGTCAAAAAGTGGAAGCCAATTTATTAGAATGACATGAGCGCTTACATCGTCCAATAAAGTAATAGTAAAAATTAAAGCAGACAAAAAATACAAAAAAACGTTGAACGTTCCTTTAGATAAAAATTAACAGAAGACAACAGTAGAGTTTATAGACTGATTTTTTATAATATTAAGTACGGGATTACACATTTTGGATAAAACAATACTTGCTTGATATAGGTGACTGGTGCGAAATTACAAATGAACAAATCTATGAYTTTTTAGTTCAAGTGCATAGAATACAGTGCACAACAAGAAATTTTCATCAAATGTTTGGGACAACTATCAGACTAATCTTTCCATAGTACTATTCGATCAAATTAGTGAGCATATAGGAGCTAAAATGGGTAAACGTATGGCAGTCGTCGAGGCGAAGCATTCATTGCAAGCCACTCGCACTATACGCAAACGTAAGCGAAATTCTTCTTTAGCAGCTATTGATTCCGAAATGATCACGACAACAGCCAAGACAACGAGAGGAAGTCATAACTATTGGCACGAAAATGATGACGAAGATTCATCTTCAAATGAAGCCACAAATGTAACACCAGTGATTAGAAATCCATCTACAAAGCATGCCAACAATTCGTCAATTCTTCTGAGCGCAAATACGTCACTGAATGAATCCCCAAAACCAGTGTATACATTATTACCATCCATTGTTAATGGGACTATTATGTACGACYTAATGCAGAAACCTTGGCGGCTTGGTAAACCTATTGGTAAGCGACTAATCGTCAGTGAGTATAAAGAATCTTTTGTTTTTTATATATTGTGTCAATATTGGAACTGATGACAGACAAAAAGATTAAATGGTACTAATTTTGAATTCTTAATTTTTGTATTGTTATAAACTTGTATAATTTGGGTGCATGTACATATGTATACTCTCATGTAAATATATATTCTTAGTTCATAAAAACTAACATTCTCTAAGTGTAAATAATTTTATATATGTATATTAATTCATTGCTTCTCTACTTAAATAGATATTAATATATTCGTTATTTCTCTTAGGCAAAGGAAATTTTGGAGAAATATTTTTAGCTTCAGATAATACTTCCATTCCGGTTACTAATGAAAATGCAAAGTTTGTTGTAAAAATTGAACCACATTCAAATGGACCCTTGTTTGTAGAAATTCATTGTTTGATGAACACTGCCAAAAACGAATGTAAGAAATGTGKTAACATCAGAAATATTAGTCTTATTAAAACCCTTTCTCTTTTTTGTTAATAGATAGCCACATAAAAACTGAAACTGATAAAAACAATAGACAAGATTATACGGCGCCACTAATGCCACATCTACCAACGGGTATACCTAAATATATTGCATCAGGCTCTCATTATTTTGGAGATGCACGTTACCGTTTCCTGGTTTTGCAGCGTTTTGATCGCGATTTGCACTCATTGATAAAAAATTGTCGTGTCCATCAAAAATGCGTGTTAACTCTAGCTATACAGATTGTAGATGTTTTAGAAAAATTGCACGACAAGGGATACTGCCATAATGATGTAAAGGCACAAAATCTTATGATTTCCAAATGCAAGTATTATAAAAAACAAACGGCAACTGCTCCAGTTACCACAGGCAAAAGCAAATCGTCCCGTTCTTCAATTGTAAAGTCTTCAAGCTATGATGAACATTACGAAGAAAAGCAACAAACAACTGATAGTGGAAATAGTTCTGAGCAAGAAGTAAACGATGATGAAGAGGATGAAGATTTCATTATTAAACGAAATAAATTTGTTGACGAATATGAAGATGAGGACTTTGATGATGGCGCTACTACCAACAGTAATAACAGTAACAGTGTAGATCTTTATGAAACACCACTAAATCGTAATCGCAAACGTCGTCCACGAAACAATATTGAATTTAGTGGTTCCAATCCGGTATTTAAAAAATAAAGAAAAAATAATTTGTTAAAATAACGTTAAACTCATTTTAGGTACGCTCATGTCGCCGACAAAAAAGAAATTCCATATATGAAGAGATGGTGAAGTCTCATTATTTACGTCCTGCAAAACGTATTAGTTACTCAGAATTCTTTAATGAAGATACTACTTCCATAAAAGATGAACCATTGGAATCGAAATCTGTGACAACAGATGATGATTTCGAAGAATTTTTACCAAGGTCTGCACGTCGTTCCGGTACAATAAAGAAGTCGARTCATGCTTCAAATTCCTGCTTACCAACAACACGGTTAACACGACGTCAAGAGAAAATTTTTAATAAGTTAAACGCTAATAAGCATTTACAAAAAACTAACTGCGATAATTCGCCATCCACAGCTGTCGCAGAATCGCTTGTAATCGTTGAGGAAGAACGTATCTTCCTTATAGATTTCGGGTTGGCTTCCAAATTTATGGATAATGGGGTACATCGTCCATTCGTAATGGATCAACGCCGAGCACACGATGGTACTTTAGAATTTACCTCACGAGACGCTCATATGGGTGCCCATTCCCGTCGTAGTGATCTAGAATGTTTAGGTTATAACTTAATGTTCTGGTCTCAAGGCTATTTGCCATGGAAAGATGCAGCAATTCAGCATCAACAGGAGAAGGTACATCGTGCAAAGGAATACCTAATGACCGATGTGCGCGAAATGTTAAAACAAATTTATGGCAAACAGGTTCCTAAATATTTGGGCGAATTTCTACATCAAGTCAGCCAATTAGCCTACCACGACCGACCGGATTATGGACGATACCGCCGCTTATTCCAACGTGAATTTCAGCAGCTTGGCTATTCACTTGCAGAATTGCACTTAGACAGCAAGGAAATAGTGCGCACTTGTGTACGTGTTAAAGAGGAAATTGAGAACAAAAACGATATATTCGAAATGAATAAACTCAACGGCAATGCAGTATGGAGTATTATGAGCAACCTTACAGTGGGCACACCATTCCATGAGCGTACTCTCTCCAATAGGGTGTCGCCGAAAAACTTGAGGTCCAAATCTGACAAAAAATCTATGAAAAAGAAAAAGTTTTCATGGGCGGAAATTCTCTCACAAGATCCTGACCAGATTGCCCGCGAACGTGCCGAAAAAGAATTCGATCGCGAGGAGGAACTTAGTGAAGTGCAACAACCAATAGTGCGTCGTTACGAAGGAAAGCCAACATATGCTATTTTAGAGATTGAAAATCGCCTAAGGTTAAGCGGCAGATTTTCAGAAGATAACAGAGATTCACATCGGAGAAGCGCTGCTAATCAAACCGACGAAGAGGATGAAAATGATGAGGAACAGGATGAGGTAAATATTTTCGAATATATATTGGTTTGCACAGGTAATTTTCCTTAAATATTCAACAGGAAGAAATGGAAGTAGACGACACGGAGGATATGGGGGATAACGACAGAGATTGTGACGACGATGAAGATGACATAGAAACGGACGCTACAGACACCATGGACCATGTGCCTAATGGTGGACATAACACACGCGCACATAATACACGATCAACTAGAAGAAAAGATTATGTACAATTTTTAGAAACAGATGGTCGAATTCAGAGTTCTACCAAGCAACGTTCAATCAATTCGACAAAATCTGCTTTTAAAACAGCAGCAGCCACATCCAAATCGGTTCATGTTGCAAATAAAGTGACTATGAAATCTAGTAGCAAACGGAGTAGTACTGCCGGTCGTAGTAATCGTAAAGGTTACAACAATGAAGGAACTCAAGTAAATAGCAACAGTGTAGGTGGTACGGGAAGGCCGGAACGACGAACTCGTCGTTGCTTAATTGAGACTGAAACAGAGATGAATGATCTGATCGATCAACAGGAAAGTAATTCAAATTTTAATCCAGATGTTTGTAGTTTATTCAACGTTTGGAAAAAGATCAATAATGAAAACATCTACTATCGAGGCAACAACGCCGCAGCAGCGGCATCGACACGACAGTGTAAAAAGTGAACAATGTAAACATGCAGAAGTTTCTACCGAGACTGTTCAATACTTCTAAATTTTTCACCGCTTTCAATTATGTTAGTAAAAATTTTGCTAAACATTGGTTTGAAATGCATAAATAACGTAGAATAAAGTAGCGTAGTACAGCAAACCCTTTTGACAAGAGAAGAGAGTAAATAAATATTGTAAGTAGTGGTAATGTTTACATTTTTGTTATTTACCAACAACTCAATGTGCAAAGAAAATTGAAATGGAATGAGCAAAGTTAAAATTGTAAAAATCGTAACAAGAGAACTCAAAATAAAAAGAAAATATGTGAGTAACACTAACATAAAAAACATATGATGCAAAATAGTTAATTCTTATTAAAAATCATCTGTGTAACCATGTGAACAAATGATATTCATAATTGCAATTCTATTGGTAATGGATCGCGTACATATTATATATATACATACATATATA